AAAAAAAAAAAAAAAAAAAAAAAAAAAAAAAAAAAAAAAAAAGGTTAGGAACCAAAAAATCCTACTTAATGCTTTGGGACCGCAGAGCACAAGCCTTACCGTGGGCCTGCACACATATGAGATGCAGTGAACCTGTTGCACGAATGCTCAGAAACATTCACTGTGAACCCTGTCAATGCTCGGACAGAAACCAAGCACTGAGATGAACCAGCAAATGGCATGTGGACACGGTAACATAGTGAAAGCTGCAGCTGCAGCTGACTATCTGTAGAACCACCATGAAGATGGATTACACGGATGGTTGTCATTGTCGTTCTCATGAGTGAGGAGGGTAGGTACTTCTCACGCTGAATCGTCCATCGTATACTGAGCATGTCTGGCTATGCGCTAAGGCGCTGTCTCCAACATACATGAAGACACACAATGTTCACATGAGAACGCTTTTTTTTTTTTTTTTTTTTGAAAACAAATGCTCCAGTTTATTCGTGGGGAGCAACACGTGCTGGGAACGGGGCCCAGCGTCCCATATCGAATTGTACAGATCATTGAGAACATTTGAGATCATTTGAGATACCGGGGCCATTACCCCCGGCTTCGGCTGAGAACAGTCTGTGAACACGATATGATTCAGAAAGCATGGGGAGGATCATGAATATCTAATGACCTATTAAGGAACTACTCATGCAATAGGCTGCCACAGACGTCCTACGAGTGCTCAGAACCCTCAGGATTCCTAACAAACCCTTCTAAGACTTTCCAACACAGTCTTACTCCCTGCTAAGCTCTTCCAGGCCTCACGCCCCCAACCTGCTGGGTTACAGGGCGACACAACTCGCCCCAGCTCCGACCAGCGTCGTCCCAGCAGCAAACCTTGGCTGTCTGCCCAACCCAAAGCATCCCCAGATCTCTCTACCAGGCCTCGCGCTCCTGCATCAGCAGGTTACAGAGAAACACCCCAGCACCGGCCAGCGTCGTTCTGGCATCGAACAACCGCAGATCACTGAGTATGACAGCTTCAAAACCGCCTAAGATGGGTTGCTAAGAGTCCCTAGAGTCCTAAGACATTCATAAGAACCACCGACCTATTTTCCACTATTCAAACGCCAGGCCATTTGGGACCAACTGAAAGGAATAGGAGGCAGGCGTTGGCCGGACGTGATCTGCATACAAGAAACTCACCTGCAAAACAATCCAGATCATAACAGAGCCCATAAGCTAGTCTGGCCTCATACGGCCATAAAAGCTCGCGCACCGAGACCTGGATCGGTAGGGGTGGCAATTTGGATTCCCCCTGACTCAAGGTTCCAACCGGTTCACTGAGTTGTGGACGAAGTGGAAGGGCGATGGGCCTCGGTCTTGGGAATGTTAGAGCTAGAACTGCTCTGTATCCTTTGTATCTACTCCCTAAACTCAGTAGGGGAAAGGAAGGAGTTCCTGGGGAAAATTGGGGCACAAGTCCCGGAAGGTATCCCTCTAATTATAGCAGGGGACTTCAATGCAACCCCAAATAAAGGCCTGTACAGATGGAACCCCCAGGAATCGCCCTCCTTTGCGGCGCTACAGGACGAGTAAATGTTAGCGGACCTCTGTGAGTCTCTTTCAGTCTTCGATACACTCTGGCGCCTGCACCCCCAAGCACGAGTTTTTACGTGCATTAGGGACAGTAATCCGGCCCGCCTATCCAAATCTCGAATCGACCTCACCCTACTATCCAATGACCTGGAAGGAGCCCTGCGATGGGCAATGATCCTCCCACGCAGCCCGCACCCGGGTCTGGATCACAAAACTTGTGGGATAATACTGACAATGAGAAAAAGGCCAGACCAAGGGTCAGGCTTCTTCAAATTAAACACCTCCCTACTTAAAGATTTATCATTCTCACAAATGATACGACACGAATGAGAATTCTGGCGCCAGCAAAAACACCTTTTCGATTCCTACCTCATATGGTTCAACAACGGCCTGGTGTTTCTGGCAAGAAAATGCAAAGAATTCTCCAAAGCTAAAGCAGCTCTGCGACAACAACTTGAAATGACCACACACAACGAGTTGATAGCCTTGGAAAGGCAGACAGAGTCACAACATCTTTCCTTCGCGCAAGAATCACGGGATCTCATCGACTCTATCCAAAATACTAAAGATCGACTTCTGCAATACGCTCTGCATAGATGGCAAGGAATTAGGATCAGAGGGAAGATGGCTAAACTCTCACATGAGGCCTCCATGGACACTCATTTTTTCTCCATGGCCACCGCACGAGCACGTCGGACAGTCATCGAGTTTTTTTTTGACCCAGAGGATAACAACATCATTGCCACTGGCACAACCCAGTGTACCCTAATCACCAGGAAGTTCTTCAAATATACACTTCCCAGATCCTACCCCCGTATGGGGAAGAAAGGATTCGGGAAATACGAGACTTCCTTCTCCCAATGGACCGACAAATCTCCTCTCAACAATGAGACAAGCTGGAGATAGGGCTCACAAAAGAAGAAATATGGACAACACTCCTCCAAATGAAGGAGGAAAAAAACCCTGGTATTGACGGCTTCCCCAAGGAATTTTGGAAAACCATGTGGACGGACCTCAATACCGACCTGTGGGAATATTACCAAAGGGTATGGGAGGCCGGGGAAATGGGGGATACTGTAGGGAAAGGAGTATTATCTCTCCTATACAAAAAAGGAGACAAAATTAACATTAGAAACTACAGACCTATTACACTGCTCACCGTGGTATATAAAATGCTCTCCAAAGCATTGGCCAACCGCATGGCGACAGTATTAGAAGAGGTCATTCACCCAGCCCAAACAGGGTTCATGTCCGGCAGGAATATTCAAGAAAATATCCTGCTGGTGAACAACGTGGTCCAACTGGCGCGCCGAGAACAGGCAAACGCGGCCATCATTTTTATAGATTTTGAAAAAACCTACGACCACGTGGACTGGGAATTCCTAGAGATGTGTTTGGAAATAATGAACTTCGGACCCACCTTCCGGCACTTAGTCAAGATCCTCCATAGTAATGCCACAGCCTGTGTTCAGGTCAATGGGTCAGTGGCGCCTCCATTTGAACTCCAACGATCAGTGAGACAAGGGGACCCTATTGCCCCCTCTCTTCTTGGTAATTATGGAAGCCCTATCAGCCAATCTGCGATAGAACAAAGACCTCACACGTATCAAGATATCGAATATTTCGGAAGAAGCAATACCCATCTGCTCCCTGTTTGCTGATGACCTTACCATATTGGTAGAGGCGACTGAGGCCAACATGGAAGAAACCCAACACCTCATGAACAAATTTTGCCGCCTGTCGGATATGACGGTAAATTGGGGACAAAAGACTACAGGATGGTGGATGCATCACCAAGGGGGCAGACCTCCAGAGAACCCGAGAATC